ACACTCCAAGAGTGTTTGGAGATCAGTTGGAGGTAATTTTTTTCCTCCTTAAATGAATATTGTCTTTTGGAATACTAGAGGAATAAACTCTCATGCATAGTGTCGTTAGTAGATTGATTTCTAACTCTCATCTTTTAGTTTCTTATTTTAGTAGAGACTAGCTTTAAAGAAAATAAGTCTAGAGACTTTATTAAGAAATGCCTCTCGCACTGGGGGTGGCTTAACAATTACTTTAAAGCTTATAATGAGAGGATATTTGTAGGAGCAGGAGCTTTCTTTAACCAGGACAGTTTTCTTTTTAAAACCTTGATGCTCCTCACCAAAGCTTCTTACAAATATTGGACCATCTTGGTTTATGTTCATAAACAATCGATTGTTTATAGACAAAACCCTTACCCTTAACTTCAACCATCTCAGGTAACTTTGCAGGCATAGATACTACAACCAAAATCCTACCATGAGCTAGCCTCTCTTTTGTAGCAGTTAACTTCTCAGTGCAAATAGGCTTCCCTATGGTACTAGCAATCTTTGACATTGCCTTAGAAGTCCAAATATTCAAATTGAGTTTTGGCAATTGAATCCATATAGGAATGACATTTATTTCCACTTGATGTAGAACAAAATCAACATACCAAGATTTGAGAATCAAAGGCTTCCCCTGAAAAACCAAGGCCCTTTCTCAAGAATAGCTCTTAAATTACCTTTTGCATCAAACTTGAACAAAAACATTGCGGGCTTCAGCACATATATTGCAATTATTCCAAATTTTGACCAATGAAGCTTAATAAAATTTTTCATGGGTTTTAAACCCAATAGAAAGCCCCAAGACATCACCCACAAGAGAAAATCTCCAATCATTTGATCCTTCAATCCATTCATCTTCCTCAGTGTACTGAATTAGAAGAATTCTGAATAAGCTCAAGAGATAACCCATAACTAGAACTGTGATTATCCCTATAGAGATTACGCCATGATTTAGTCAAATTTGCTTACATGGAGAGCATTCGCTTCGCCATCTGCATCATTGACTTCAGAATGCGTAGGAGTATCATCATGTAGAGGAGCTATAGATTGAGAATGGAAATCAACCTCATCTCCGGCCTCAAGCTCACATTCCTCAATCAAATCAGCCCAATTCCTTCTAGAATTACTCCCCAACCAACTGAATCAGTAGATTTCAACTTACCGTGTCCAAAATAAGGGCTGGGAAAACCCCCAATTCGAGATCAACAATGGATGAAACTCCCACCGATCCAAAGATGCCAACAAGAGTCGGCCCCTTTGATCCAGACAACTACGAGTTGATCATCACCGATTCCTCCTCCTGCTCAAGAAACTGATCTAGAGGCTTTACTCCCTTGAAACCACTTGGACCGTCGCTACATAGTCCTCACTCAAATCCCCATCAAAAGAAAGAGGGGTCTAAGACGAAGAAGGACGAGTAGCTTCCGTGCGCTTTCTCCCCATGGCCGCCGGAATTGATCGGAGATGTAAGCAATGCGCATGATAAAGAATCGCCCTTAATGTCGGACAGCATAACCGCTCCCTAATAATTAGATATTTTTACTAGGGGTGTTTTGGTTCAACAATTTTACAAGTTTTTTCAAAAGGACGAATAATGACGTTTTTGTAATTATTTTTTTTTTTCAGATTTCCGTAAACTGTATTTGGTCCAAAAAAAATTTACAAAAATATTTTCTGTAAAGTACAGAAAAATACCAAAATTTACAGAAATTAATTTTCTCTCAAAATGGACGAAAATCAACCAGAAATCTGACACCCTATTATTTAAATAATAAAAACTCATCGACCGTACCCATCGCCCCCCCCATCCTTTTCTCGCGCTGATGAGAGGGCGGAAATTTCATTAGGGTTTCGCCGACTTCCCGCCCCCAAATCCAACGATACCTACCTCCTTCGCGCCTTTTACCGCTCTCATCTCGTTCCTTCTCGTTCCCGTTCGGCCATCGCCCCCAAATTCATTGCTCTCTCCTCCTTCGCACCCAAATCTAGGTTTTCTCCAACAGCGCCCTCAAATCTGAGCCACCACCCTCTTCTCTCTCGTGGTTCTCGTGAATCTCGCGCTAGGGTTTCTGATCTCCAATATTCTGGAAATTAGACTCAAGAAATTAACTCATTAGGGTTGATATTTGGGGTTGGGGTAAGGGTTGATATTTGTTCTGGAAATTAACTCATTAGGGTTAATATTTGGGCTCGTTGAAGTGGTGCTGGGGTTGTTTTTTTGTTACATGGTTGCTTCGAGCTTGTTTAGCTCTATATTGTTGGGTATTTGGTGATCATTTGGGCTTGTTGTCGAGCTGCTAGGGCTGTTTTTTTTTTTTTTTTGTTATTATGCTGATTCGAGCTCGTTTAGCTCTATATTATTGGCTATTTGGTTGATATTTGTGCTCGTTGTCGAGCCGTTTTGGCTGTTTTTGGTTACATGGCTGATTCGAGCTTGTTTAGCTCTATATTGTTGGGTATTTGGTTGTCATTTGGGTTTGTTGTTGAGCTGTTGGGGCTGTTTTTTTTTCTGTTACATGGTTGATTCGAGCTTGTTTAGCTCTATATTGTTAGCTATTTGGTTGATATTTGTGCTCGTTGTCGAGTGGCTTTGGCTGTTTTTTTGGTTACTATGCTGATTCGAGCTTGTTTAGCTCTATATTGTTGGGAAATTTGGTGATATTTGTGCTCGTTAGGCTGAGGCTGTTCTTTTTGTTACTATGCCAATTCGAGCTTTGTTTAGCTCTATATTGATGGGTTTTTATTTCATATTTGTGCTCGTTATCAGATTGAGTTTTTGGCAATGATGGTCGTCAACTAAATAAGATTGCAAACTAATTTACAATGTTCATAATAAGATAAGGCGTTCTGTACCACGTTATTAGAACGCAATCTACGTGAACTTGTACGTTTCAGTTGAGGCAATCGATTTTAATAAAAGATCAATAACTTAGCCAAATTGTGAAAATTGTAAAAATTTTGTATATGTGCATAGTTGAGGATGGAAGGATTTTATAATGTGAAACTAGCCATTATTAAAGTGATAAATATGGTAGTCAGCACTTTTCTATAAATTTGACATATGTAACCAAACAAAAGAAAAGAAAATCTTGCTATTTTATATAAAGTTATGAGCTATTTTCTTGTTTTGAACCAAACAATCAAAGTACAAAAAACAAAAAAAATTGGTACTTTTTAACTTCTCAAAACTTTTCCTATAATTTTTTTAAAAAATACAAGGAAATCATATTTTGGGTGAAAAACATTTCCTATAATTTGTAGAAATTGAACCAAACACCCCCTTAGTATCATCACATAGTGTGCACCCCGTGCAAAAAACGGCCCCCCACTTTTTAAAGAATTGCATTTTGAACCTACCTCCCTCTAAGTTTTAATACACTTAATTTGATGTATGCTTAAAATTAGAAATTATATCTACTCCTCTATACTTAAAGGAAGATTCGAGTTTTAATACATTTGATTTAGAAATCATATTTACTCCTTTATACTTAGAGGAGGATTTAAGTTTTAATACATTTGCTTTGATTTACTGTTTATGATACACTAAAATAATGTAGCATAACCAGTAACTTCAAAAAATATAGTGAGAATTTTGATTTACTGCTCACAGAACAGAAATTAGCTGCAGCTGACGTATTGGAGTCGATTCACTATTCACAACACAAATAGTGCTGCAGCATTTACTCATGCTACAGTAATTCATTGTACTGTAACATGAATAGTGAATATTTGGATCATCCTAGAAGAGTAGATGCTATTATTTATTAAAAATAATTTTATATAACATGTCTATATTTAATTTATAGTTGATTTTTATTTATACAATATGTGTGCAAATTTACTATAGCATACATAAGGAATTTCTTTAAAAATTCCTATTTTGAAAGTTTATTAGCAAAATCGACCAAATATAGTTTTTAAAATACACGGGACTGCTGTTGGCTAATCACATGCTAATTAAACTACGAAAAATATACGAGACTGATTAAATTTTATTAGGGTATAATTAGACGCTACTAAATACACAGGACTAATAGTCTCATGAATATTAAAACTTTATTTTTGCAAAATCAACCTCTTTTAACCAAAATAAGTCGATTTTGCTAATTATATCAAAAATGCGTTGATTTTGTTAATAAAGTTTTAAAAAAGGTCTTTTTAAAAAATTCTCCCATAAATAATAATAAAACAATTTTCGCTTTAAAAATAAATTTTTCTCTCTCGTCAAATAAGGCAGGCACGTGGTGTAATTACTTTTTATTAATAGCAAACCATACCTTGCTCGTTTACCGCATCTTTAAAGGTTTTATAGTGGAAATGCCTATGAACTCACTCTTGCACGTTCAAATTCTGAAGTTTCATCTAAACTAACATATGAACGCATATTCAATCTCTTTCATGCAAACTAACGCCCCCAAAACAATAAACATGGCACTCGCTAAGCATTTCTGCAGTTCACCCAAATTAGAATTAGATATGATGATTATGCTTCGTGGCTCGGCTGGAACTTTCGAATTTGATACACTATCATCACTTCTTAAAAAAACACAAGATATGATAGATATGATGCAGCCGCACCAGCGACTGAAGTATCAACTGTACCGGAAACTATCATCACCCAGCAAAATTGGAGATTTCGCTCCATCCACCCCACCATTTACAGCTAATCACCCGAAAGCTGTTCTTACTATTAAAATATAAGATGACTTGACACAACAACCTGCAGCTGCTACCAACATATCTTTTGCCGTATCCGCAACCTTCACCTTCACGGGAGCGGAAACCCAAGAATTTGTTAATGACTTAATTCTATTGGAGAGAGACTTGGGTAAAAATAGGAAAACGCTATTTGGCTCGCACTTTAACGCGCGAGCCAACTCGCGGAGACAACTCGCGCAGAGAGCCCCCCCCCCTGTTTCTGTGCGAGTTGGCTCGCGCGTTAAAGCGCGAGCCAAATAGCAGTGTTGGTAAAAATATAATTGCAAAAACTGAATACCAGACTCAATATGAATATTTCTTACAACAATATCTTAAGACTTGAAACCATAAACTCAAGTAAACAGTCTGAATTCCATAAAGTTACTGCAGAAGTATCTCTTTTAAGGCGATCGCAACAAGTTGCATGACATAATATTTATCTTACACTGAGAACATATCTTCTGGTCTTTTATTCTATGAACTTCAACAAGACAGAAGAGTTCGTAATTATGGTCATAGGATCTGATCAATTTTTCCTCCCCTCAGACAGGATAATATGATAGCCATGCCTGTATCATATGCACACAGTGAGTCAATCCAAACAAAATTATGTACAGTCCTGTGACTTCGGTTTCCTTTTTTTTAAGAAACAACAGAATTAAAAGAAGAAGATGGAAAAACAGAAATCTATTAAAATTCTTTTATAAGTATCTCTCTGCCAGTAGGCCAAGGCGCAACTTGGACACATAAGTCTAGCAACATTATGAGGTTCTGAACTACACAGATCAGAAATATTGATGAGAAAATATGAACATCCAAGTAAAAAAATAAAAAATAAAAAATAAAAAAAGGGAAAACTTATGCTAGTGCTATATAAATTTCAAATTCTAGCTTTTAGATTTGTTTTAACTCTTTCATATGTAAAAGAGTGTTCTTTTACGAGTAATCTCGGTGCCAGTGTGCCAAGGCACAACTTGGACACATAAGTCTAGCAACATTATGAGGTTCTGAACTTCGAAGATCAGAATTATCGATGATATAATATGAACATCCAAGTAAAATAAAGGCAAAACTTATGCTAGTGCTATATAAATTTCAATTTCTAGCTTTTAGCTTTGTTTCAACTCTCTTCATGTAAAGAGGGGAAATAAGTGAATACAAGATTGGGAGGTCTGCATACGTACGTTGATTTGAATGGTGCACTGGTTGCGCCAACTGGTGTACTGAATGCAACATCCTGAAACGGCCCAGCCATTTTCCCTCTAGGAAACCACCCAAGGTCTCCGCCTTTCTTTCCTGATGGGCATTCAGAATACTCTGATGCTACCTGAAATAAGTAAGGAAAAGAAAAGAAGTAAAGATAGAATAAATTGATTACCATAAATATTTTTATATGCTTAAAATAACTGTAGATAAGTTGAAGACAAGGGAGATGGAAGGCTCATAATAAGGAGACTGTTGCCAGCATGGTGCCAAGATCAGGTGTTAAGAAAGGTAACAAAATGCCTATTAATTAAGTTGCTTGACAACATACAACTTCAGGAGTTTAATAACTTAATCTATATTGCAAGCTCTTAAAAAAATACACTGATATTATATATGGGAGCAACATCAGGAGTGCTGTTGATGGTGATGCCATATTAAGCATTCTTCCTGTGAGATCTTTTTTTTTTATATTTTTTTTTATTCCTCAAAAGCCAGTCATAGATTTATTAAAAAATATAATTAGCTTGTAACAGTTGATGGTTTTTCCCAAGTGGTCTTAGGCTAAAGACAGATGAGCATCTTATAGCGCATGAAGCTGATTAGCTTACTTTGTTGCTTAAAAAACTAGTTCACATCGGTGAAGATATTTGTTATTTGTTTCACAGCAAGATAAACTAGTAAGCATTTTGCTTGCTATTCACAAGGCGGATGCTAATTTTTCATTTTGGATGGGTGGGACTTGCATGCGTATGTGTGGTGAAAGAGAAGTAGAGGAAGCAATATGCATAACTTTATACAAGTTGCTTTTCTAGTATCTTCCAACAAGAAACTTTAGAAAACTCACAAAGAATGTTTTTTCTGTCAGGTCAGGAAGGACATTACCGAACCTCTGAAATACAAGTGTTGTCATAGTAGGAAGGAAACATAAATACTGAAGAAATTAATTGACGGAGGATTTTTTTTCCAATAGTTTCTATTTTGGGTGGTGGGAGTGTTTTTGTTTTTGTGTGGGGGGGGGGGGGGGAAGAGAGGTGGCCCCCTGCAAGCCTCCCCTAGATCCAATTAACTCAACCTACCAAAGACTGTTTAAATCTGATCAACAAATTTAACAACAGTATCCATCTACTATATAATACAAGGACGAGTATTGTTTGTGTTTTCATCCCTGCATAGGTCTCGTAGTAACAGTAACACAAATGTTGTGGTGCCTAAAAATATAAATCAAATTCCCATGCACACTAGTCTAAGTATATTACATGTTGCAGTTTGATTTAGTGGACAAAAATTGGAAAACCATTGCAATGACACGCAATGATAATTTCTAATTATAAATAAAACCCATATGTTTATCTGTGTGCATTTCAGTGGTAACCAACATATTTGCTTCACCAGCATACCACTTATGTGCACATAAGGTTAAAATAAGATGCATCCACAGTAAACCTTCACCCACCCCCCCCCAATCTAGATCTATGTTTTTTACTTTAAACCTCGGTAAGATATTTCTTTAACCTGTTAGACATCTAAGTTTGACAAAGATAGAAAGTCAACAGATAGGTTTACTAACATAAAAACATAGGTTCACTGTTCACTTTACTTTAACAATCAGTATGCAGATTTTAGCAATGTACAAACAGTTACAGGATTTCCATTGCAAAGGGTTCAAGTTAGTTTGTATACCAACGTGGGGCTCTCTTATGTTTGATATTTACATATCCCTCGAGTCTTCCATATTTAGGATATGCCCCTGAGATCATTATGCTTATAAATCGTCAAAATCATAGAGGGTCTAAGATCATGTCCCTCTCTTATCTTCTATTTGATTTTGGATTTTCTAATTATGAAAAATGGGTATAAATCTAAGAAGTCCTAGTCTAATTTGTAGATAAAAGGGATATTACCCTTAGGAATATTACCCTCTTGTTCTCCAAATTAATTAAAAGGTGCAAATTTCTCAGAACCCATAATTTGAAGGTTATGTATATAAATATGATTATTTGGTGAGCGTCTTTCCAAATATGAAAGATTTGAAGGCCATGTGTTTCAACAAACACTAAATGTTTGTAAAAGTACAAAATAGTCCTAATTAAATCAGTACAACTATCTCAAATGGCACCTGATAAAGTACAAGGCAGACCACACGTAGAAAAGAACCAGTTAAAGTGAAGACTTCACACAAATAATATACCAAAACAATGTTAAAGAGATAGCAGATTTTATACAAACCCAAAACAAATTACTCTAACAAGTTTAACGAAAGGTTAATAGGTAAACATTAACTCACTCTCCATTGCTCAGCCAACCATCTTGCAATTTCTTGTATGCTTCATTAATTTTCCCTTGCTTCTCACATAAGATATGCCTCGCTGAATCAAATTTGATGGTTTAGTAAATAACAACAAAGAAACAGTGTTCTCCTAAGTTTATAAACTGTAAATTTTATTTATTTACAAGAGTAAGGACCTAGCTTTAGGAAAGGAAATGGTCATATTGATGACCAACAAAGAGAATGAGAAAGGGCAGTGAGATAGAACTAGAGAAAATCATAGAACAATCAGAGCAATCCACCGAGATCAACCAAGAACAGTAATCAAATCAGATAAACAGCACGAGGAAAAATCACAAACAAAAAGAAAATCCATTTTCAAGTGAATTGGTAATGTAAGAGCGAGAATAACCATATATTGAGAAGATATAATCAGCGTTTTGGTTGAACAAGTTTAACTTGGATCTCTTGTTCAGATCAAATTAGTTGCCAACTCTATTAATTAACTTGGAACATGCTAGATCAGAGGTGATTGTTCCCAATATAAAGATGGAATATGATCCTACGGAGAATAAAACAGGTATTTCTACATTTTGATGAGAGAGTTTCAGGAACAAGTAACGCTAGGTTATTCATAGGAAAGATTGTTTAGGCTCAGCAGAATATGAGTCAAGCTGGAGATCACTGAAAATGTTTTTCTGCATATATCCTAGTTCCACATGTTGAGGTTATTAACATGTGAATATAGTCCCATATTGGATAGGATAAGAAAGAGTGATGAGTTTAAAACAGGAGTTGGAACCAATACTTAGAAGCTATAGCTTTCGGGTTAAATGTGGTTTCTATTCTCTAATTAAGGCCCATTAAGTCTAGATTGGGCCCAATCACTCCCCAACAAATGATATTAGAGCTAAGGTTATATGATCCAAGTAATTAAAACAACAAAAAGGAAGAAGTAAAAAGTCCAATGTAAAGCCCAAAGGCGTCGGGAGAATGAATATGTTCGAGTTAGACCAAGTCAACCCATGGGATGCTCGTTACGCCCGTAGGGTCAAGTAGTCCACGGATGCCCATAGGGGTGATATATAGTCTACTTAGTCCACAAGTGAAGTGGTGCAAGATCCTATCTAGCCACATGTTGAATGCATGGTATGGTTAGTCTACGAGTAAAGTGGTGCAAAAGTTAGCGATTCTCATGAAAGAAGATTGAAATATAGTGGAATATTGAAACTATACTCACAAATTGAATTTGAGGGGGATGTGTTGAGGTTATTAACATGTGAGTATAGATAAGAAAAAATGTTGGGATTAAAAGAGGAGTACTAGTAGTTATAGCTTTTAGGTGAAAATTGGTTCCTACCCTCTATTACGATTGGGCGCGATTACTCCCAACACTTGGTAAGTGTACGACGTAGGTATGATCCATACAAACACAAGACAAATTAGGTCTAAGATTGCATTGAAGACTTTTTGGAGAACTTTGTTTAAAATTCAGTCGATGATATGTATATATATTTAGCTTATAATCTGTAGATCTAAAGATTTTTATTGTCAGAAAGATTCATGTCTGTCACTTAATTAAAAATGATTATTTATGAAACACATAAATTAAAAAAGTTTGACAGAGAGAGAGAGAGAGAGAGAGAGAGAGAGAGAGGAGGAGACCTTTGACATAAGTGCAGGTACCGAGGCCGTCGGAGGACTTTCCAGCAGCCTTTCCTTTACCCTTGGAATTGGAATTGCTCTCATCACCACCGCCGCCAGTTGACTTCTTTCCCTTAATTCCTCCCTTACCACCTCCCTCTTTCGCTTTCGAGTCCTTCCCCATCTCCTCTCTCTCTCTCTCTCTCTCTCTCTCTCCCCCCTCCCTCTTTCGCTTTCGAGTCCTTCCCCATCTCCTCTCTCTCTCTCTCTCTCTCTCTCTCTCCCCCCACAATCTAAATGAATTACCTAGGGCTCCTCTTCCGCTCTCAAGGCAAGATGTCGATTTGAGAAAAAGTGAAAGCGCCTCCGGTACCGTCCCATCCCCTCCTTTTGTAATCATCTTTTTTAATTCCCTTTCTTTCGTTCAGATGCATACCCAATAGGCCGTCGTTGGTGACTCTGCTAGTGGGCTTGCCAAACTATGTGGCCTGCTGGCCTGCTGGCCTGCTCGACCCTTCTGTTGCTTACGTTCTTTACGGGCTTTTCGATATTGGTCCCTTAAATCTTTGATAGTTTAAAAATAATCTCTCAAATCAATTAAAATCACCCCCCCCGCCCCCGCCCCCAAGCCGGCGCCATAAAAATATCTTTCAAATGAGTCCCTCCCAAAAAATGATAATTGGAAGAATTAGTTTGAAATAAATTATTAGAATTGGAAGACATGACAATCCATAACAATAGATTTTACTTGGTAGCCTTCCGATTTCTACTTGTCCTTCTGATTTAAGGGACTAATTTGAATTTGAGTTAAGAGTTTGGAGCCTAATCTTAAAGCTATCATATTATAAAGAAAAAAAACTTTCACGTGCCATATCATAAATATCAAGAAATTCATCTACATATGGACACCTAATATTATATTCATCTAAGAAACATCAAGTTAAAACTATCATAAATTAAAACTTTTTTTTTGTAGTGGAGAGGATCCAAATTAAATTGCTTGTTAAAGTTAATTTTTTTACATGAAAGTCACTTTAAATTTGCTCCAAATTGCAACTTACCGCTTTTATTTTTATTCATTTATTATTATTATTATTATTATTATTATTATTATTATTATTATTATTTAATAAAAACCACTTGCATTTGCTTACATCTTCTCAATATCATATGTTTTGATATTTTCTGTTTAAAAAAAGTTCTAAAGTTGCTATTATAACCTTAGTCTAATTCAAAAGGAAAAAAAGTAGAGGAAGATGAGAGGAATGAGAGAGGGGAAGAGAATTTGGTAGGATCAGTGGCGAGAGAGGAGGTGGGGAGGAGGTTAGTGATGAGAGTGGCAAGAGATGAGAAGGGGAAGGAGGAAGAGGAGAGGAATGAGGTGAGGAAGATGAGAATGTTGATCTTTATTCGATCTTAATCATACAATATAATTAAGAACCATGATTAATTCAAAGAGAAGATTAACAAGAAGAATTAGCGGAAGCATACCTGAATCCATGAAGAAATTTTGAATTAGGGTTTGAGATCTTCTAATCTAAAGGGTCTCTCCTTTTGTTTCTCTCTATATGTGGATTAAGAAAACAGAGAACATCACCCTTAGATTAGGGACCATAACCCCTTTAAATAGATATTGTTATTTTCTAATTTGGCCTCTCATCAAATTAGACTTGCAATATGGTATCTACACAATTAACCCATGATATATTTAAATACTCATTAACCTAATTAATTGATTAATCACTTTATGCGGGTTACCTTTAAAGATAGCATTACACAATAATTTAACATATGTGCCGATAATTATATTTAATCCAACAATCTCCCACTTGTGCACCATATGTTTCCTTAAAGTGTGTATAACCTTATGAGCTCAAAAATTGCTATCACAAGAGTATTTCCAAACAATCTCGTCCATTGACTATATCTATATAGGATCAAAGCGGCATTCATCACATTTATCGTGACTAAACCCATCAATGGTCACATATACCAATACAATCAAATGACATAGATCAATCATGAATGTGTAGCATGAAAATTATATACAATGTGATCTGTACATATCTATTTTTAACTGGTCCTATCTTAAACTTTAGTGAGGTTAATTCCAAACATACTACAACAGAGTGTCTAAACTGAATACTTTATTCTGATCAGACAAAAAATCAAACATAAAGCACCAAAAATTACAAACTCCCACTAAATTATGATATCCTTAAATAATACCACACCAATATGAGCAGTGTGCTCATGAAAGACCTTGGGTGATAATCCTTTTGTAAGAGGATCTGCTATCATGGAGTTTGTCCCAATATGCTCTATGAATATCTGTCCACTCTGTATCATTTCTTTCACAACTAGGAACTTAATGTCAATGTGCTTTGACTTAGATGAGCTTATGTTGTTATTGGAATACATCACAGTTGATTTATTATCACAAAATAACTTAAGTGGTCTTTTAACATTTTCCAAGATGCACAGTCCAATGACAAAATTTCACAAACATATTCCATGATTAGATACCTCATAGTAAGCTACAAACTCTGTTGCCATAGTGAAGGAAGCTACAAGTGTCTGTTTAATACTTTTCTATGATATAGCTCCTCCTGCTAACATATAAATGTAGCCTGATGTAGACTTTCGGCTATCTTAGCATCTAGCAAAATCAGAATCAGGGTATCCAATAACCTCAAACTATTCTGATTTTCTGTATGTGTGTTGGGTGTAAAAATTTGACTTCCCGACGAGGGGTCGTTTGTGTTTATAAAGATTGACTTATTACAAACTAATAATTAATGTTTTATAACAGAGGATAAGTGAAGGCCCTTCTTGTTTAACGTGGGTTCTTCTGTAGCGATAGGACGCCCCCCTTGATGCTTGTGTCGAGTTTGCTTCCCTTGGACGATACGATCGACGTCGCAGTTGGAGATTCAGTATTCAGTAGAAACTCCGGTATGATTGGGTTCGAGTCCACCCGAGGCCAAACAAGTGCTTGCCCTTGTCAACCGACTGCTTGGAGAGAGCTACTATGCAAAAGCTTTGCAAAGCGCCTAAGAGCCTCAAGTCTGAGAGTTCAGATGAGTCTGCAAAGAGCTATGAGCCTTAAATCTGAGAGTTCAGATTGAGTCTGCAAAGAGCTACGAGCCTCAAATCTGAGAGTTCAGATCGAGTCTACTAAGAGCTATGAGCCTTAAATCTGAGAGTTCAGATCGAGTCTACTTCAACAAGGGAGCCTTTAGCAAATGAGCTAAGGCTCAACCTTTAGAAGTTAGATAATTAGCCAGTCAAAACCAAGCAGCCAATCAACCCCCTAAACGTTGGTCTAGTGTAGCTTTAAATAGGTAAGGGATGGCATGAGCCATCTCTTGATTTGTGGGATTTGACCACTAGTAGGGGTGAGGAGCACCAGCCACCCTAGCTGCAGGATGTGACCGCTTAGGGAGGCCTACCAGCCACCCTATCTGTAAGATGTGACCACCTAGGGGGTCCTGTCAGCCACCCTATTCTTGTAACCATCAATGGCCATACCTAGGTGAGGAGCGACATGCTCCCCCCTTAATTTGTGAGATATGACCACTGATGTGACTGTTCCAATACCCCAAGTGGGCAGCGTGCTGACGAGCTTGGGGCTGTCAGGCAAGCTCCTTTAGGCGAGCTCACTTCTAAGGAGAGATCGAGCCTACATGTGAGCTTTAGCTCAAGCGGGCAAGCTCAACAATCAGGCGAGGTCAGACTCGTGCTAGTGAGTCGTCCTCAGTCGAGTCGTCTTCAATAGAGTCGTGCTAGGGAGTCGGCCAAACAGGCGAGCTCGATTCATGTGGACGACTCAAGAAGACAAGCGAGGGAGAGCTCATAAAACAGGCGAGTCTGACTCATGCTGGCTAGTCGACTTCGGGAGGGAGACTGACACCGTCTTTCGAGTCGACACGAAGGGGTGTCGTCCCAAGGTATCTTAGCGAGTCGACTTCGAGTGGGAGACTGACACCGCCCTTTGAGTCAACACGAAGGGGTGTCATCCCGAGATCTTAGCGAGTCGACTTCAAATGGGAGACTAACACAACCCTTCGAGTTGACAAGGGGGTCTTATCTACTTAGTCTTCGAAGTGCTGACTGACACCGTCCTTCGAGTCGATGAGGGGGTCTTGGCCACTTGGTCTTTGAGGGGCGGACTGACACCGTCACTTCGAGTCGACGAGGGGGTCTCCGCCACTTTGAGTCGACGAGGGGGTCTCGACCACTTGGTCTTCGAGGGGCGGACTGACACCACCCTTCGAGTCGATGAGGGGGTCTCTACCACTTGGAGTCGACGAGGGGGTTTCGGCCACTTGGTCTTCGAAGTGCTGACTGACATCGCCCTTCAAGTCGACGAGGGGGTCTCGGTCACTTAGTCTTCAAAGGGCGGACTAACACCGCTCTTTGAGTCGAGAGGGGGTCTCGGCCACTTGGTCTTCAAAGGGCGGACTGACACCGCTCTTTGAGTCGAGAGGGGGTCTCGGCCACTTGGTCTTCGAGGGGCGGATTGACACCGTCCTTCGAGTCGACGAGGGGGTCTTAACCACTTGGTCTTTGAGGGGCGGACTGAAACCGCCCTTCGAGTCGACGAGAGAGTCTCGGCCACTTGGTCTTTGAAGGGTGGACTGACACCGTCCTTTGAGTCGACGAGGGGGTCTCTGCCACTTAGAGTCGACGAGGGGGTCTTGGGCACTTGGAGTAGATGAGGGGGTCTCAGCCATCCGAGTCTTCTGGGGGATTGGACTCTTCGGGGAGTTAGCCATTCGAGTCATCGGGGGGCTAGACTCTTTGGGGAGTTGGCCTGAGTCGGGTGGACTCTCAGGGAGTCGGCCTGCCTCGCCCTTCGAGTCGACGAGAGAGTCTCGGCCACTTGGTCTTTGAAGGGTGGACTGACACCGTCCTTTGAGTCGACGAGGGGGTCTCTGCCACTTAGAGTCGACGAGGGGGTCTTGGGCACTTGGAGTAGATGAGGGGGTCTCAGCCATCCGAGTCTTCTGGGGGATTGGACTCTTCGGGGAGTTAGCCATTCGAGTCATCGGGGGGCTAGACTCTTTGGGGAGTTGGCCTGAGTCGGGTGGACTCTCAGGGAGTCGGCCTGCCTTTCTAGAGATGGACCATTAAGCTCTTTTGCTTGTTCTAAGTTGTTGTGTAGGGATAAAGGCAGTTTTTATTGCCTACAATGTGATCATATAATCTTTTATTTCTTGCAGGTACCTCATAATCTTTTTGACTGCTATCCAATGGTCCATACCAGGGTTGCTTAAGTATCTGCCTAACATACCAATAATGTACGCAATATCCAGACGCGTACACACCTGAGCATACATTAGACTT